CCCCCTGCCTGCCTCCAACACTAACGTAGACTCTCAAGATATTTCCAAGAGCCTGTGATACAGTGAAAAACATATTCCTGAACAACAAAAGAAATGCATTAATTCTCACAAAGTAAATAAACACTTCCATGAAAACTCAGTCTAAAAATAATAAACTTTACCTCAAAAAGTTAAACTCTAAATCTCCTTCTGCAAACCATTACAATCTCTTACACATTAATACACAGGTTCCCCTTGTTTATCTAACCCCTCCCCAAAAAAAGGCCACACGAAAGTCTATAAATCTATATCTCTTCATTTCCAAATTAAAACATACCTTATATATATATGGATCATTATACGATGTGAAATAAAGAGCAAGAGAGAGGGGGGAAAAAAAACCTATTCATGTTAATCAAAAGTACTTATAAAACATAGTCGGGAAAAAATATGTAATAAAATGTCTTTACTATGATAGGTACTATCAGTAGCCAGTAATAAGGAGACAGAATCATCTCTGAATATTCAGAGATTCCTTATAACTGAAACCAAAACTGAAAATCTATCATATAAAGAAATTCAGTATTGTATCAGAGATCTGTGTCCAAAGCCCTACAAATCATCTCCCAACAAATTGCCCAAAAGGAACAATGACATGGGCCAAAAGTAGTTGGTCCTCTCTGAAACAGAGCAATGATCACAGAGCATTCTTGCTAGCGTTGCAAGGAAATCTTTGATCCCAAAAAGGGTTTTCAATAATCCGATCCTTTCATTCCTTCTGAATCTGCTTTATGATGCAGGGTACACAGACTATCAAACTGTCCACTTTACAAAATAGCTTTTAGTGTCTTCTTTACTTTTCTTTCAAACTGATGATATCTAAAACCAGGGTGTTTTTTTTCTTTACCTCCAATTTTTTTTTCATTGAGGCATGGGGGCACACTTGCCAATGCTCAGGGGTTACCCTGGCTCAACACTCAGGAATTACTCTGGCGGTGCTTGGGGGACCATAAGGATGCTAGGGATCAAACCCAGTTGACTACGTGCAAGGCAAACATCCTACTGGAATACTACAGAAGGCCCCTTCTTTACCCTCTAAACCCTATCTCTTTAATCCCCTAATACAGATTCAACTAACAAATCTATTTGTATTATTCTCTCCATCCATGATTAATATATGCTGAGAGTTGACCTCTCTCATGAACTATAAACCTTCATTTCCAAGAAGCCTCTGGATATTTCTAGTGTTTGACAAATAAAGGGAAGAAAGGGGAGGGGGGGAAAAACCCTCAATTTGAGCTGGACAGTTCAACAGGCTAACACACATGCTTTGCATGCAGGAGGGCTGGATTCCATGCCCCAACATCGCATGGTGCCCTGGGTCCCAGATGAGCGACCCACAAGTACTGAACCAGGAGCAGCCCTGAGCCCCACTATAGCCCAACTGCTCTCCCAAAAAGCCTTGGTGTTTCCAAAACTGATTTTATTTTTCCCCTCTACACCCAGATTTTTCTTGTACTGCCTTTATCATCATCCCCACTAAAGACAGAATCTAGTTCCCCAAGCCTTCCTCAACAATCCCTCCTCCTACCCATCTACTAAATCATTCCACTGTTCCCGTCCTTGCTCAGTATTTATACTATACTGACCTCAGCTATCTACAACAAATCATTCTACACTACACTATCAGACCGTGGTAATTTCTCACTACATTCCCAAAGGCTGAACTTCTAAAAAAAAGTACTTAAACATGTTCCACTATCTAGCCCCAATTTAAATTTCAACCTAATGGCTTGTTCCCAAAAATGAACTCTATATTCTAGGTAATCTGTTCCACTCACTGTTCTCTGAGTACACAATGAACTTTCCCACCTCCACACTTGGGCTCACACCACTCTTTTTATCTGAAAAATCTTTGTCTACCTCCTCCAAATCCCTACATTTTTTTGTCTTAGAAAAGTCTTAACCTCTGCAATGTTGAACTTAACCACTCTACTGAGGCCTGGGGTTGAAGAAACACACAGGCTTTGAGTCCAGGCTGACTGAGAGGGAGCCCAATTATTTGGCAACTACATAGTTACTTAATGTATTTGTGAATCCTCAATATTAAGAAAACTATTTATATGCTGTCCTAAGGAATTGTAAAATGTATTCAAAGACTAGAGCACAGAGCCTGGTAATCCCTAAGAGGTCAATAAATTAACACTTAAGAGTTCCCTCCATAAGTAGTACTATACCTGCACCGCTTTACAAGATAATTTTAGATAAAAAGTAATCATTTTTTTCCCTTTTCATACAATTCCAAATGTATGGTCTAACCACTCATAATAGTGTTTATATGGATTATTCTACACTATAAATTTTTACACAAAAATTTTACATCACTTTTTTTTAATCCAGAGAAAGACCAAAGACTTCACTTTCACGCCTTAAAATGTTTATCAACACCTTTCATGAAGCTGTGCTAAACAATACTGAACAATTAGAAAAAAACTGTAATGTCTGAACTTCACAATTCAAAACTTTTTTTTTTCTTTTTGGGTCACACCCGGCGATACTCAGGGGTTACTCCTGGCTCTGCACTCAGGAATTACGCCGGCAGTGCTCAGGGGACCATATGGGATGCTGGGAATCGAACCCGGGTTGGCCGCGTGCAAGGCAAACACCCTACCCGCTGTGCTACTGCTCCAGCCCCCAACTTTTTATTTGTTTTCGGCCCACACCCAGCAGTGCTCAGGGCTTGCTCCCGACTTTGCTCAGGGATTACACCTGGCAGGCTCAGGGGACCATACTGGGTGGCAGGGACTGAACCTGGGTCAGCCATGTGCAAAGCAAACACATCCTACCTACTGTATTATTCCTCTAGCCCCACAATTCAACTTTTCAAGATCTGAGATAGACCTTAGAAAATTATTGTCAATATTTAAATCCCTTCATGGATATGGCTATATTTTTATTTGCTCCTACAAGGCATTTAACACCATGAAACCTAGTATGGAAAATGTTCAAAAGCTGTTGACTTGAAAAATAAAATAAAATTTACAATGCAAAAGTTTGTTAAAAGTTGAACTGCCTTGAACATCATAAACTTTGCATTGCCTTAGGGTATCACAATGACTGTCATTCCTTCAGTACAGATCCATAATCATGACAACTTTTCCAGATTTACTGCATTTCAATATTCCAATGGTAAAGGTTTAAACAGTCAAAAACACTTACGGCTAAGAATGTACAGTGTCAACTAATCTTTCCTTCCCATGTTTTTCCAGGGATTTTATAAATCATCCTTTGCCCGTGGAAGATTTTGCCTCAGAGAATTCACTGGACAAGTCACTTCAACCTATTCATGGTACTGCCTCCCATTTCCCTAGACTGAGGACATAAGTATCCCTTCCATCCCAGTAGAATCTAAGTCATAACAGAAGAACAGAACAAAAAGTGCAGTAAAGTGTCACTGGTCTCACAAAGGTAGTTTGTATACACTTTACTCTATAAAAACAATGGCCATCTGCTGATAATCATAACCTGCAGTAACTGCACTCCCCTCCGAGCATAACTTACAAAATCACCAACGGCAGTAATCTAGTATTTCCTGCAAATCTTTACCAGTAGTTTACTGGCCTAAAGTCAGTTCACTAAACATGACTATATCTCTTTCTCCTCTAGAAAATCCTTCATTTAACCCAAAGCAAACACTTCACGGCCTGAGTTTACATACACATTCAACAAAACACCTCTTCCTACCTGTGTGAACAAGGTGGGCAGGCCAAGAAATCGCTCGGGGAAGGGAGGAGAAAAGAATTTTCTTTTCAAAGTTCGGAGAAATGGCTCTCCACTGCCAAACACGAAGGTTTACATACTTTGGGCAAGAGGGGATATGTAATTCTCCAACCGCCTGCAATCAAGTCGCGCAACAACCGCAAGCTGAACTCATCATACAACTGTGACTTCAGCCAGCCACAGACATCAAGACTGCATAGCAAGAGAACTGCATGGCTTACGCTGGCTGCAAGAAGGCTAAGCGAAACATTGACCCTCCGCAAATGATCACTGTGTGTGTGTGTGTGTGTGTGTGTGTGTGTGTGTGTGTGACTGCAGAGAACTGCATCGCTTATTACGGCTGCAAAATTCAAAATTCAGCGAAAACACTGACTCTGCAAATGATCGCGCCGCGCGCGCGTGAGTGCGTGTGTGCGCGAGTGTGTGTGTGTGCGTCTGTTTGTGTGTGTGTGTGTGTGTGTGTGCGTGTGTAAAAGCAAACTTCAAGCTTGAGTAAGCTTTCAAGTGAGTAAGGATCACGCGCGGCATACCGGTGCCATGCTCATCTACGTATCCCGAAACGGTCCCGAGCGTCGTCCAAAATCGATCCCCGGCAACCCCGAAGTGGGTCTGGATGAATCAGCCCGAGCCTCCAACGATCCCCGGCATCCACACGCGCAAAAGCCCCACCCTGGGACTAACTGAGAAGACTACACCCGCGGGGACCCGAGTTAATGACCGGGCCCGGGGACAGAGCCAGAAGACGCGAAAGTCCAGACCTGGAACACAAGATTGAGTCTTGATGTCCAGCTTCCCAGTCCCAGCTCGGTCGCAGAAAAAGCAAATTCGGGTCGGGGGACTGGTGGGAGGGGGGGTTGGGGTGGGGGGAGGGAGGCGGCGGCGAGTCGCTTTGGGCCGAGCAGAAACGCGAGGGGTCCAGGGCATGAGAGAGGCCCGGCCCATCCCCAACTCCCGAGTCCCAACAGCAACAAACAGCGCCGGGAACCCCCCTCCCCGCTCCGCCCCGCCCACCCCCTGGCCCGGCCGCCCCGGCCACCCGCTCCGTCCCCCCGGCTCGGACCGAGCGAAGCCCGCGGCGGCGGACAACCCGCAGCCCCGAACGCCGACTGCCGACCCCGCAGCCCGGAACCCGGAGTGGGCTGGGGGGGCACCCCCCCAACACACACACACACACACACACACACGAACGCCAGTCCCGCCGCGCTGCGCGGCCACCCCAGCCCGCTCCCCGGGACACTCACCGTCGGCCCAGGCGCTGGGAGCGGGCAGGGCTCGGCCGGGCGGGCAGCGGTCCCCGGACCCCGCGCCGGGCTGGAGCCCTTGCACCGAGCCGAGCGAGCCTCAGCGGCAGTGCCTACCAGGCCTCTCTCCGGCCCGTAGCAAAGCACTTCCGGGGGCGCGGGGCGGGGGCGGGGCTTGGCACCGGAACTGCTCGCGGGCGGCGGCCGCCCGGGCCTCCCGGGCGAGGCGGGGCGGGGCCTCTCCCGCCGGGCGCCCGCCCGCGCCGCCGCCGCCGCCCCCGGGCCCGCGGCCCAGCCCTGCTCCCCGGGCTGCATCCTCCACCCTCTCGGGGGATGGTTAACCTTTCCCGGACGGAAAACCCGGGGGCTCGGAGGACTGAGAGGCGAAAGTCCGTCGTGAAACCGCCCCCCCCGCCCGCCCTCCACAAACACACACTTTCTTCCCACTCGCTCCTGCGTCCTCTCGGCCTCCTTAAAAAAAAAAAAAATTCTCATCTTAATCTTGATGCGAACGACGCTGACTGCCTGGTAGGCACTCCAGGGAGTGTGTCGGGTGCTTGGCTGAGTGAATCATCGCCACCCCCACCGCAGTCGGTGCTGAGTGCTTCTTGCACGGAAGAAACCGGGTCTGAGGTCCGGATTCCGCTGCCGCCCGGGTTGGCTTTTGATTTCTATTCTAAAGCACTTTTCATGCCTGAGTCTAGATCTCCTCCCTAGCCAACATTTCCTTCTTGAAGAACAGGGACCAAATTCTAATCCCATACTCCCATCATCTTTTGGAACTTCAGCAACGGACGAGAGCTTGTTGAGGGGCTCAGAGCTTTCTGCAACTTTTACTTTTAATCCCGGGCACTTCGTCGTATGCATCTCAGTCTCCTCAGTCTCGTATCTGAGAGTTGGGCGCAGGGGCTGTTAACCCTGGATCGTGGGGCCAATTCAAAATGGAAATACCTGGTAAACAGTTCCTTGTGCAGCGAGAGACCGGTTAGAACAGAACATAGTTCCTGTCCACAGTTCTTACACCTCATCAACAAATTTCTCCTCCAGTGGGTTCAGTCTAGCAAGGGCTAACTTGGAAAATTAGTGGGGGGGGGGCGGGGGGTGAATCAGCAATAGAAAAGGATCGCTCGCCAAGCAAACAAACGGTAGAGGTTGTTTGAAATGGGGAAAAATAAAGATAGGGAATAAAAAAAAAAATGACCTGGCCACTTATGAAGACTCCGAGCTGGTAAGATTTGCGGGCCCTCAGTGTCCAACGCCAAGCAGGGAAAAGTGAGTGGGGAGAGAAGATGGAATTCGCTAGTCTTTTGAGTCGGGAAAGAGGCACCGAGTATGAGACAAGGATTCTCTATCTGAGACTAGATAAGGTAGAGGACGGGGGTACAGGGAAAGGGGGGCCGCGGGGGGGGGGGGGAGCCCACGGGGGCGGGGGAAGCTTTATAGCAGGCTCCCTATCTACAAAAATAAATTTACAAGCATCTCTTAAAAGCGTGGAGGAGGGAAATTTTCTGAATTTTCTATTTAGAACTGCAGAGTAAATGGAAACAGTTCAGAACCTGTTATTACGAATTTAAGATGCAAACAATGCCTCTCCTATTGGCTTTGTTTGCAAAGCAATCTATTTCTGTGGTTACAAACTTGTTTGTAAATACTTCCCCAATGCCCAAATTTAAGTTCTTGGGGTTATCCCTCTCTTAATTTCACAGGCCAGAAGAGGACCAACTCCACTGACTTATCCTTCCATCAGGGCTTTGAGGGATAGTGAGAGGAATCCTAATGAAAGATACTGGCAGCTAACTCCCTGAAAAGGCATAAAAGTGATAGAGGTCTGTCATTGAAACTGGTCAACTCACTCATAAAAAGTGACATGGAATTTGAGTTGTGGGACTCTCTCCTGAAATGCTTTCACCTCGATGCCAAAGCCTAACATTGTGAGAGTCTCTCAGTTTCCTACTGAACTTTTTTTTAACGCCATTTACAATTCTTGTTCAGGGGCTGAAGAGAGATAGTAACGTGGGTAGGGCGCTTGCCTTGCCGAAAGCTGATTTAAGTTTGATCGCCAGCATCCCATATGGTCCCTGAGCACAGCCAGGATTAATTTCTGAGTGCAGAGCCAGGAGTAACCCCTAAACGTTCCTGAGTATGACCTCAAAACCAAAAAGAAAAAAATTAGAATTCTTGTTTAGGACTGGAGGAATAGGACAGCGACTGTGGAGCTTGTCTTGAATGCTGCTGACCCAGGTTGGATCTCCAGCATCCCATATGGTTCCCCAAGCCCCACCAGGGGTGCTCCAAGAGCGTAGAACCAGAAGTAAGTGCTGAGCACTGCTGGATGTGACACCAAAATAAAAACAAATTCTTGTTTAGGTGCTGGAGAGATAGTACAGCGAGTAAGATGCTTGCCTGACATGCAGCTGACCTAGGAACCCCTTATGATCCCCCAAGCCCATCAGGAATATAACCTGAGCACAGAGCCGGGAGTAAGCCCTGAGCACTACCGGATGTGGTCCAAAACCCAAAAAGAAATAAATAGTAAAGGGGCTGGAGCCATACTACTGTGTGTAGGTCATTTGCCTGACATGAAGTCAACCTGAGTTTAATCCCTAGCATCCCATATGGTCCCCTTGAGTACCACCAGGAATAATTCCTGAGTGCAGAGCCAGGGGTAATCCCTGAGCATGCCCGGTGTGACCAAAAAGCCTGAATAAATATTTTAATACATTCTTTAACTGCTGTTAAAACTAACTGGTGGGGCCCATCTCCAGAATTTCACTTAACTATGGTGAGTCTCCAAGGTATAATCCCTGGACTAGTCGCATTAGCATCATCTCTGAATTTGTTACAAATGCAAATTATTCGGCCCCATTCCAGACCTTGTGAATCAGAAATTCTGGGTGGGAACCAGCAATCTGTGTTTTAACAGGCCTTCTAGGGAATTCTGATGCATTCTCAAGTTTTACAAACACTGCACTCTACTATCTTGTCTGATACATATTTCTCCCTCTTTTTTCTCCCCTAATTAGCCCTAACAGGAATAGCTCCACTGAAGCAAAAGTTTCTCCCATTGAATTACATAATATGAAACATTTTTATTCATGTTTTGCTCTCAGTGGGAGAGAGAGCTAGAAAAAGTATTAATGGAGGATTTTTTTTTTGATTTCTTAAAATTTGCACTAACATTTAACAAGATAATACTGAGTAGGGGTTGTAACTAATCTTATTTGAGGACTTCTGTGTGCCAGGGCTTTACATGCATTTTCTAAATTAATCTTCACCACACGGCTATGAGGTTTTATGGTCTTAGTTTTACAGAAGAGAAAAACCAAGACTTAGGTGAAGTAATTGACTTAAGGTCACATTCTTATGAAGGGGCACAAAGCAGGGCTGTTCAAACAAAGATCTCTGTAATTCCAAAACTCATGATCTCTCCACGTCATGGCAGGAGTTTGGGGAACCAAATTCCAATGTGGGCTTTACCACCCCAACTATGCAATACTGAGTAAGCGATTTAATCTCTATTTCAATTTCTCTATCTATAAATAATGTTATCATAAATCTGCCCTTCCCACGCTGGAATGTTAGAACAAATGAGGAAATAAAAGTATGAGCCTTTGAGCTTTAAAAAAAATGGTAATCATTTTTTTTAAGGCAAACTAGTATTATATGTTTAGCTAAGTGCTGCTCTGTGAACTGAGGCACTAAATCTTTCCTGGTTATCTCCTGATTTGTACACAAGGTGTTCATTCAAAATACCATCATAAAGAAAAAGTTGTTTGGGGGCTGGAGTCATAGCACAGCAGGTAGGGCATTTGCCTTGCACAGGGCCAACCTGGGTTCGATTCCCAGCATCCCATATGGTCCCTGAGCATCACCAGGAGTGATTCCTGAGTGCAAAGCCAGGAGTAACACCTGTGCATCGTCAGGTATGACCCAAAAAGCAAAAAAAAAAAAAAAAAAAAGTTGTTTGATTTTGTGTGTCAGTGTCTCCAGACATTAGAAAAGCTGCTAGCAGATTTCATGTGTCTCTAATTTTTTAAACTACTGGAAATTGGTAGAGCACTTCCCTAGCATATGTGAAACCCTGGGTTCAATCCCTGATGTTAAAACAGCAACAAAACCCAGAGGGAATCTCACCACATTCATAGACTGATTTGTTGCCAACTTGCTAGCCCATCTTCTTCTAGAGATCTATTCCCCAAACTCTCTTCTTCCCATGGCTGGCACCCTTCCACCCTGTCACCTCCACCCACTCAGCAAAGACTTAAAATTCCTGTTACTTTATTATGTAGAAGGATTTATCTCTTAATCCTCCTCTTAGACCAGACTCCAGGCCTATCTTTGTTGACAGACTCTCCAGGTTACACAATTCCAGGGGGTACCATTCAGGAAGAATACAACCTGAATGGTGCTCAAAGGGGTGCCAATTGCACAGACCACAGTGGACCAGTCTCCCTGGAACTGTGCGTGTCTTTGTCCCTGTGTGTGTAGGGCTTCTGCCCCCCCAAATCTATTAAGGTGCTTTGTTAAGCAAAAGAGCCATTAACTTGGGTGTCCTTCACTTGTCAAGCTTTCGAATTACAGGGTTCCTGGGTTTTGTTGGTTTTAACATGAGCCTAAGTATCTAAAAGATAGGCTTAAGTTCTGAGTTCCATACTCTGTGTGACACTGTCCACTCTCTTCTCTGACACAGTTGCTTATTTCTTCCCACTACACTTGTAGCTGTATGAAGGCTTTGTCATATTTTGTCTCCCTCACCCTTTATTTGTACTTTGCACAAGTGCTAGGAAAGCGTTTGCTGATTTGAATAACAGCACTATATATATTGGTATAATTGGCAAAGATTTGATGAAATGTTCTTGCAATGTGTTGTTTGACCCACGGCATTTTGTACCAATAAACAAATTGAGCCAAAGTTATAAAATTGAGAAATGTCATGTTTTTAAAAAAAAATCAGAATTTCTGGTATCTCTTGGAAACTCTCACAGACAGGGCGTGTATTCCATAAGGCATCAGCATGTGGAGTTGAACTACAGTTGCTGAATTCAGACAGTACTCTCTCTGAGTTGGCCTCACTTCATATGAAATCTGCATGACAGGCACTGAGTTTGAAGTCACTAGTATTTGAGATCGGATGGATGTTTTGG